AAAAACAGGAAGAGATGGACAGGTCCCAGTCCATCAGAGAAACAAATGAGATGAACTCATTCACTCTCATGTATGAACTATTTAGAGTTGTCATCAAACCCAACGTGTGTTTGATGGAGCCTCTTAAGATGTGAGCTGCCAAAGGCACTAATGCACCCCCATACCATCAGAGAGGCAGGTTTTTGAACAGGCTGGATGGCATTCAGTCCATTTTAAATGAACTTTGGTCACATGTGGCTTCTTCTTAGTGTGAGAGAGCTATAAGCAGCATTAGTGGACGTCATGGGGAACTGTTTCACACGATGATTGATGGATGCTCCGAATGTTTCCAGGAAAACTTTACGACTGGATCTTTTCTATTAAAAATGTTCAGATTTTGCTGTTTGGAGACTCTTTACTGATGTTCTGATAATAAAAGTCAAGCTGTCTTGTTCATTTATTCATTATTTTTTTAAAGCTACTTTCACTTTTTTAAATCCTGGACAACTTTCTGATCTGATGCCCATGTATTTTTTCTTCATTTAATTAAAAACAAAATATTAATTTAAAAAACAAAACCATTTCCAGCACAACACAAAATCAAATAAAAGAGAAAAGAAATAAGAAAAAAGTTTGTTTCCCTGCAGCATTTCTGCGTTTCCCTGGACGCACATCTGGCCTCCATGGAGAAACCGTGGGACCATGATGCCATCCAGGCTGCTATTTACAGCTCCACTGGAACAAGAACAAGAAGCTGGGTTGGAGGCACCGACGCTGCAAAGGTTGATTATCAAGTTGAAACATGAGTGGTCCGATTCTCTGCTCTCAATGCATTTTTTAAAGAAGAACAAAGTTTTCAAATCTTCTGACAGGAAGGTGAGTGGACGTGGAGCGATGGTTCCCCCTTCACCTTCACTAACTGGGGTCCAGGACAACCAAACAACTCAGGTGGAGACAAGCACTGCATGGAGATCAACCTGAACGGTACAACGTTTAAGTGAACGACAGAATCTCAGTTGTGTTTTTGTTCTTCACGGCTCCAGCTTGGCTCAGGATTCTGTTTTTTCTTTCCACAGGAACATAAGAATCCGTCAACAACGTGAACTGCAACAGAGAGAATCCTTTCGTTTGTGCTAAAGACGCTAAAGTTCTGTAAAGGTGGTGGCAACCTGCCTCAC